TCTGTATCCCAAATGGCACCCTATTGCCTTTGTAGTGCACTACTTTTGATCAGGGCCCATAGGGTGAACTAGATAAAGAATGGGGTGGGGTGGGGTGGGGGGGGGGGGGGGGCAGTATGAAAATGTATGCACTCACTAACTGTAAGTCGCTCTGGATAAGAGCGTCTGTTAAAATGTAATGAACTCTTTGGAAGTTACTTGATAGCAGCCGTGCACCGAAGATTATACTTTTAGTTAATTGCGTATTTATACAGTATTTGCAAATAATGCTGGTCTCAAACATACTTTAATATCACGTGTAGATTAGAAGTGTGGATTTGTAGCGTTTGCAATATATTTACATCATTTAGCAGACACTCTTATCCAGAGCGACTTACAAATTGGTGCATTCACCTTATAGCCAGTGGGACAACCACTTGTTTTTATTGTTTTTATGGGGGGGTGGGGGGTAGAAGGATTACTTTATACACTTAAACAACACAATGTAACTCCAAGTCAATCACACTTCTGTGAAATCAAACTGTCCACTTAGGAAGCAACACTGATTGACAATATGCTGTTGTGCAAATGGAATAGACAACAGGTGGAAATTATAGGCAATTAGCAAGACACCCCCAATAAAGGAGTGGTTTTGCAGGTGGTGACCACAGACCACTTCTCAGTTCCTATGCTTCCTGGCTGATGTTTTGGTCACTTTTGAATGCTGGCGGTGCTTTCACTCTAGTGGTAGCATGAGACGGAGTCTACAACCCACACAAGTGGCTCAGGTAGTGCAGCTCATCCAGGATGGCACATCAATGCGAGCTGTGGCAAGAAGGTTTGCTGTGTCTGTCAGCGTAGTGTACAGAGCATGGAGGCGCTACCAGGAGACAGGCCAGTATATCAGGAGACGTGGAGGAGGCCGTAGGAGGGCAACAACCCAGCAGCAGGAACGCTACCTCCGCCTTTGTGCAAGGAGGAGCAGGAGGAGCACTGCCAGAGCCCTGCAAAATGACCTCCAGCAGGCCACAAATGTGCATTTGTCTGCTCAAACGGTCAGAAACAGACTCCATGAGGGTGGTATGAGGGCCCGACGTCCACAGGTGGGGGTTGTGCTTACAGCCCAACACCGTGCAGGACATTTGGCATTTGCCAGAGAACACCAAGATTGGCAAATTCGCCACTGGCGCCCTGTGCTCTTCACAGATGAAAGCAGGTTCACACTGAGCACATGTGACAGACGTGACAGAGTCTGGAGACGCCGTGGAGAACGTTCTGCTGCCTGCAACATCCTCCAGCATGACCGGTTTGGCGGTGGGTCAGTCATGGTGTGGGGTGGCATTTCTTTGGGGGGCCGCACAGCCCTCCATGTGCTCGCCAGAGGTAGCCTGACTGCCATTAGGTACCGAGATGAGATCCTCAGACCCCTTGTGAGACCATATGCTGGTGCGGTTGGCCCTGGGTTCCTCCTAATGCAAGACAATGCTAGACCTCATGTGGCTGGAGTGTGTCAGCAGTTCCTGCAAGAGGAAGGCATTGATGCTATGGACTGGCCCGCCCGTTCCCCAGACCTGAATCCAATTGAGCACATCTGGGACAACATGTCTTGCTCCATCCACCAACGCCACGTTGCACCACAGACTGTCCAGGAGTTGGCGGATGCTTTAGTCCAGGTCTGGGAGGAGATCCCTCAGGAGACCATCCGCCACTTCATCAGGAGCATGCCCAGGCGTTGTAGGGAGGTCATACAGGCACGTGGAGGCCACACACACTACTGAGCCTCATTTTGACTTGTTTTAAGGACATTACATCAAAGTTGGATCAGCCTGTAGTGTGGTTTTCCACTTTAATTTTGAGTGTGAATCCAAATCCAGACCTCCATGGGTTGATACATTTGATTTCCATTGATCATTTTTGTGTGATTTTGTTGTCAGCACATTCAACTATGTAAAGAAAAAAGTATTTAATAAGATTATTTCATTCATTCAGATCTAGGATGTGTTATTTTAGTGTTCCCTTTATTTTTGTGAGCAGTGTACTATTCCAGGTATTCCTTAAAGAGGTAGGGTTTCAAGTGTCTCCGGAAGGTGGTCAGTAACTCCGCTGTCCTGGCGTCGTGGGAGAGCTTGTTCCACCATTGGGGTGCCAGAGCAGCAAATAGTTTTGACTGGGCTGAGCGGGAACTGTGCTTCTGTAGAGGTAGGGGAGCTAGCAGGCCAGAGGTGGATGAACGTAGTGCCCTTGTTTGGGTGTAGGGTCTGATCAGAGCCTGAAGGTAAGGAGGTGCCGTTCTCCTCACAGCTCCGTAGGCAAGCACCATGGTCTTGTAGTAGATGCAAGCCTCAACTGGAAGCCAGTGGAGTGTGCGGAGGAGCGGGGTGACGTGAGAGAACTTGGGAAGGTCAAACACCAGACGGGCTGCAGCGTTCTGGATAAGTTGTAGGGGTTTAATGGCACAGGCAGGGAGCCCAGCCAACAGCGAGTTGCAGTAATCCAGACGGGAGATGACAAGTGCCTGGATTATACATCTACAGCCCTACAACAAAACATGACAACTGAGGATTGATTGTTAAAAATATTTATGGAATTTCTCACATTAAAACGATCGGAGTTATCATAAATACCTCCAGTAATAATGTCTGCGTGCCAAATGACAGCCTATTCCTTATATAGTGCACTACATTTGACCAGGGCTAATAGGGCTTTGGTCAAAAGCAGTGCACTATATAGGGAATAGGGTGCTATTTGGGATACACCCTGCGTGTGTTGTCAGCCCAAGGACATTAATTGTACAAAGAAAGAGACCATCATACATTATTTACAATGAATACAGAAAGGTTAATGATACTCAATAGTTAAATACTGATATTTAGCATTGGGGTCAGTTCCATCTCAATTCAGGTAGGAAACTGAAATTCCAATTCAATTTTTCCTCATTAAAAAGCTCTGAGAGAAATTGGAATATAAGTTTAGTTTATGAATTGAAATGGAACTGAGCCCAACACTGGCTGATACAAAGGCTGTTATTCCCAGAGATTCAGAGCTACAGGTGTACTCTCATATCATTGTACAGATAGTCAAGAAGTACCAGCAGCATTTCAACCATAGACTTGTCTGAATCACACAGCCAATACTTCACACCATGGACATTATAAATCATTTCTACAATGACCTACACAGCAGACAGGAAACGTGACAATTAGATCAACAAAAGGCTGAATCAAACTGCTGAAACTCTCCCCTCTATTTAAACTATAAGGCAGTATTAGCCTACATGGCAGGAAGTACCTGTTCCCATTAGTTCATTCTGATGATAAATAAACGAACAACTAAAATATGTCAGTGACGGCCATTTCAGATTGAATTAAATAGACCCCGACATCAAAATAATAAGAAATGTTGCAAATGACAGAGGCTTAGAATGAGAGAGAAGATTTACTAGTAGGCCTAGAAATATCTGGGACGTGTTCATTTTAGGGCCCGCAACGGAAAACATTTTAAAACATTTTGCAACTGAAAATGAAAATGAGTGTTTCCATTGTCCAAGTCCTTCCCCGTTTGAGTCCGTTTTCATCCGTTTGGTGCCTAATGAACACGACCCAGGTCTGCGACCAGAACCAGGCAAAGACCAAGGGCCCTATTCAAACTGGTGCCCAGGCTATCTGGTGTTTCCTTGAGTAGTACGTCACTCCAAGCATGCAAGTGGGATTTATTTTAAAACCAGACCGAATAGGGTCCAATATATCTATTTTTAACCCAGACCTGATTGAATAGGGACCCAATATATATATTTTTCCAACGACACCTCTGCCAGAGCTGTGTTAGTAGAGTAGCATAGCCTTTTGTTAAGATTAGCATTGCAGTGGCCACTGATGGTCATTCCGCTTTATTGCTGCTGCATACCATTGGAATGATGGCAATGGCGGTCTCTTGTTCTGGCCTGTTACAATGTACATGCATATCACGCCACTATAGCCATTCATTCGTTGAACGGTAGTAGGATGAACATTACATCGCCACTATAACCCCCCCCAGGTCTATTATTTGTAAACATCCCAAAGTCACTTGCAAAAATAGTTTGCATACGTCTTTGGCTGAGTGCATCGAAGGCAATAGCTGCACGGACAATTACAATTGATCTCAAAACCCCCCATGGGATGCAAACCCCCAAACGCCACCCTATTCCCTATTTAGTGCACTACTTTTGACCGGGACGCACAGAAAGTATGGGTTCTCTGAAGTTGGCACAAAAGTAGTGCACTATATATATATATAGTGAATATTACTGCCATTTGGGACGCAGCCCATGTATCTAAACAGAATCAGGTCAAATGGACCCAGCCCCTAAACTTCAGACAACATTTGCGCCGCTCTATTCGGTGCATTGGAACTTGGTCTGGGGGAATAATCATGCTCAGTCTATCTATTGTCTTTCATGTCCTCTTAGTGATATGACATCTTATTCTAGGTAGGAGTGCTATGTACAAGCAACAAGCATTGTACCACCACCATTCACATAAATATCCTTATAAATCAGTCACACAAATATCCTTATAATCTATTCCATTTACAACTACTTGGTCCATCATTTTTCAGAAATAATTAAAAAGTTCACAGTATAACTTATAAAGTTTTTACATTCTTACATATCATCTGCCGTATACTGCAGCTTGAATTGCAGATATGATCAAATCCGTTGGATATAATTGGATACTCTAATTACATGCCAGAGAATGGGTTGACATTACACTTAATTAATGGACTAATATTAAACGCAAACCGATCTTGAATCTTGTGACCAATGAACCACTTTTAAAAGTTTGCATAGATAGAAACCTTTCAAACTGACCAATTAATGCTGAAATTGACTCAATCAGAAAGCTGATTATTGACCATTGGGAGCTTCAGATCTTTCAACAGGGGGGTTGGAAGATAAGGGACATTTCCTTGTATAGCTTTTCTTCTTCATTTCCACCAGAAAGATGGGAGTCCCGTTTAGTAAAAGAACCGCTGCCTAGATGTCAGTCGATGTATTGTGACAGCCACCTGAAGCCATCTCCATAGCCCTGCTTCTTCAGGACACTGCACATGAAGATCTCCAGAGGTCGTACCTGCAGATCCTTCAATGACACATTACTCTGGGAGAAGAACACAAGGTCAGCGGTTAAAGACCACTCCAGCAAATTTTTTAACTTTTCCTGTTTAAAAACATTATCCCAAGTATAAATACAGTAATGTACACACACTTGTGCCATGTCATAACATACCTGGACCACCTATTGAGATGTGCCTTTTGTTAAGTAAATCAGGTGTTTAATGAGGTGAAAATATACTGGAGTTCCACTATCATTTTCTACCACATACCTATAATATAATATGCCAGTTAGCAGACGCTTTTATCCAAAGCGACCTACAGTCATCCGTGCATACATTATTTTTAAAAAAAAATTATGGGTGGTCCCGGGGATCGAACCCACTACCTTGGCGTTACAAGCGCCGTGCTCTACCAGCTGAGCTACAGAGGACCAACGGAGCGCTTGTAACATGAATACTAAAGAACATGAATACTGTACCACACACATATCATTCAGACACACACGGTAGTTGTGTTATACACTCATCTGAAATGGCCTTTAAGAAAAAAATATAATGATGAACCATATATACAAATCCCATAGGCCATGTCTATCTCTATGATTGCTTACCTTTCCAGTGCATTGACCGTCGAGAGCGAACGCCTCTCTCAGTCCCCCCTCACTGATGGCTTCAGGACGGTCTATTTTGTTCCCCAGGACCAGCACGGGCACAGAGAGGATGGTCTCATCTGCTAACAGAGCCTGAACACACACACACAGGGGAAAGAGGTTGAGTAATGAGACAGAGATGGGACAGTGAGAATGATTGTTGTGTGTCCTGGACTAACCTGCATTGATTGCTGCCTCACTGTGTGGGTTTTGTGTATGCATTTTTCATAATGAATATGTTGATAAATGAGGCCCATTGTGTGCAATGGAAGTGACTTACATCAAGTTCGATCTTGGATTCTGTAAGGCGGTCATGATCAGCACAGTCAACCAGAAAGACAACTCCATTGATAGCCGGCAGATAGTTCTTCCAAACTCTTCTAGCTGTGAAAGAGACAGAAGATGTAGCACATTATGTAATGTGTCAAGATGCTGACCAAACCCTAGAAAGACAATGTAATGTCTCAAGATGCTGACCAAACCCTAGAAAGACGCAGTGGCCAACTTAGTTAGGCCTAAGTCTTACCTTGTACGTGACCGCCCAGATCAAACGTGGTGAATGTCATTCCAGCTATTGTCAACTCTTCCGATGCTTCAAGGAGAAACAAAACACATTTAAAATCACTGACATTGTGTTCACTCCATTTACTGAACTTAAAACAACCCAATAATATACTTAGAAATGATGCTGCTTACTTGGATGCAACGTGGGCACATGCTGTCCAAGTCTGTCATCTTTCAGCATATGCAGAAGGGTCGTTTTACCAGCATTATCCAACCCCAGGAAAACCAGCTTCCCAGACTTTTTGTACAACCCTGGGAAAGTACATTGATAATGTAACGTTTGAGTTGGAAACACACACCACTCATTGTGACATGCAGTTATACTGACAATACAGTTGAAGTCAAGTCTGAGATTACCTAAAAACTGTAGCACACCACTAAAGCCTCTGTAGATCCAATCAAAGAGGAATGACATTTCAGTGGTCTTTGCCTAAGGAAGAAGACAATCGGGAAGTTAGCTAGCTAGCTAGCTAGCAAGCAAACACACTGACAACTTGTCCAGGCGGGATCAACTTATCTCACTGGATCAGCAGCATTTTGACAGTGCATCATGACTATATGGATAGCTACAGGCTTTCTTTACATAAGCAAATGCACTTGCTACTGCTGCTAGCCAGCTTTAGGTTTGTCAACAAAAATACAAGTATTTCCTTATCCTAGCATGCTAGTTAGCACCAGCTGATAGCTAACTTAGCTAGCTAGCTAGCTCGGCTACGTGGCTATCAGCTTAGCTAAAACCCTGGGCTCATGTGGACTAAGGACTCACAGAAAGACAGCTCTCCATTTCGAAGTAAAGGTATGACGGAACACAAGTAACGTTATGTAACTATATAAAAGACTGAATATTTTGAATAAAGCTGCCAAATCTTACCTCTCCCTGTCGACAATGACAGCTTTGTGTAGATTTTTTTTTAGCGGATTCGATAAACGAACAGCTGATTGTATTGTTCTTCGACGTGACTTGGGGAACTACCTAACCATCCTAATGGCGCACTAGCGCCGCCTGCTGTGTAGGAGCTTATTGTAACAGGATTATGACGCTCACCTTTCACCTACCTTTCCCATAAAATACCTCAAATCCTCTGCATATATTATAAGCATTATATATAGACGTTTCATCTAGTAGCGCCCATCTTTTCCTCTTGGCAGTGGAGGAGTCTTGGATGAGTGATTCTTTAGCAGTTCTTTTCATGCTGTGATTGCCTGTAAGAGTCAACTTTAGAGAAACCATTTCTATTCTTTACATTCAACACACCTGTTTAAACAGCTTTTCTCATGTCTGTTATAAGGCTTGCATTATGATACATGACCACTAGATACCAGTAAAGACCATGCTCAGAACAGGAGGAGGGGGGTGTGGTGATGGTATTTATTTTCAGATTTATGACCATTTTCAGGTTTCAGTATCAAACAACATGATGCAAGACACAGTAAAGTGTATAGGTTTAGACAGACTATAAAGGTCATATTGTTACAAATGTCTATTTGTACCTGGGAAACATAATAAACATAATGAGCAGGCTTACTTGGGTTGAGTACTTGTCATGTTAAGATGATAAGCATCAATCACAATTTATACTAAAAATGGGAAACTGTAATTATACTAAAAATGTTTTCTGTAATTTTCAAGTATATTCTTCTGTTCAGGTGAGAAAGCATTTTGGTCCAATCTGAAGGCTCTTCTTTCTGGGTCAGTTAACTTAGACGTAGAACCATTTGTCAACTGAGAAAATAAGTAGAAAATGTTCCATTGTAAGTGTGAAATCCAACAAAGTTGAATATAGATGGTAAATAAATCGCAGGTGTATTGAATTAAAATAAGATTCATTTCACGTCAAAGCACATACCAATGGAATTAATGAACAAAATAAATACACACCTGCACTGGGAATAGGGTCTTCAGGGCCAAAAGCACCTGCCTACAATACAATGTAAAATGTAAATGTAAAAAGATCATTATTATCTATATTATCTATCAAGCACACATGAATATTGCAGCTAGGCTGTTTTAGTATGATAAACAAAATAGTATGATAAGTGAAAGGAACTCACGGCATCAACAACAGCCTTAGCATCAGTAGTGGAACAGCAGAACGGACTATCTGCGACACTGGTGTTGGTACTGGATCAGTGTTCCGAGAAACAGGAAATGGGAGAAAAACACAAACAGAACTGTTTCAGCTGAGAATAAAAAGGATGGCTCTGTAAAAAAAAAAAAAAAAGTCATTGACTGAACTAAAATGGCTCCTTTTGCTTTATCGTTATCAGCATCACTGACAGCCTATTGAACAGATGGTCATATTACACGGAGATTGTAAATCTATATCTCAGTCTCACCAGTTCAGATCTCCAGCATTGGTCTTTTTGGAGATCAGCGCCTTCCAAAACTCATGAGTTTCCTTGACTGTCTTAAGAGCAAAGTCCTGCAAAATATAATGTCAAATTATTATTTAAAAGCTGCATACACCTCCACTATACTACTCTCTGTACTGAGTAGAAAGTAGGGTGCGTCCCAAATGGCCCCTTAGTCCCTTTATAGTGCACTTCTTTTGACCAGGGCCCATCAAAAGTAGGTCACTATATAGGGAATAGAGTTCCACCCTTGGTATGTTCCATATTTCAATAAAAAAAGAGTAACAATGTGTACTTACACTGTAATACACTGTTTTATTCTGTTATGTGTGATTGAGTTTACAAATACCCTGTCCTATGAATGATTTAGAGCAGGGGTGTCAAACGCATTTCTTTCCCAGGGGGCCGCATTCGGTCTTCAACGAGGTCCGGGGGGGCCGCACTGAAAATTGGTTATATTTCCACGGCGTCAAAATTTGCTACAAATAGTCCTCTAACCATGGTTTAGGGAATGTTCTAGGCTCCCTGACTGTCTAGCTTTCATTTAGGTGATTATTAGCGAGCTGGACACAGTCAAGAAACTGTATGAATGTAGGTCCATTATAATTTCTACACAGTTTCTATTTGGTTTTAGTCATTTTAAAGTATATTGAGTTCGTTTTCCTACACACGTTTCTTTTACTCAAACCACCCGTGGGCTGGATTGGACCACCTCGGGGGCCGGATTGGACCCCCTCGCGGGGGCCGGATTGGACCCCCTCACGGGCCGGATTGGACCCCCTCGCGGGCCGGATTTGACCCCCTTCGGCCTGCGGGCCATATGTTTGACATCCCTGATTTAGAGGAAGAATCCAATAGTAACTGACATCAATATAAATGTCTTGTTATTGTCATTGGGCATTGCTCTTGTAGGCCTACTGTCAGTAAAAACAGGTGAAAACTGTATTTTTACCCGGTCCTTGAACTCTCCGTTAAATGCAAACTGGTTCTCGGGTTTTCCATCAGGAACTTTATATTTTTTGAACCACTCAAATGTAGCTTCCAGATACCCAGGCTTGAGTCTTCTTACGTCATCAATATCTGCATTGATCACACGAAAGATTTGCATTTCATTGTTAGCCACAAACACATTTAAATACCCACTACTGTGTAACTGCTGATCAAATATCAGACAGACGTTCCGTCAGCGTCTTAAGGTCTCTGGAAGAAAGTAAGTAGCCTTGTCCAAGCCAGAATGACCCATCAACTCACTACATACTGACACCTGCTCCTGTTTCTGTAGCGTGAGGCAGCTTGCCGTATAAATACACTCCCTGGACAGGATGCTAGTCTACTGAAGGGCCTAAAAAATAAATCAATATATAAATCCCATATATTCTGAATACGTATTAGATGTCCTCCTCATACTGTTAAAGTTGGTGGCCTCTGGATCCTCCATGTTGATGACCATGACTTTCCAGTCTGTTTCTCCTTCGTCGATCAGAGCCAGAGTGCCCAACACCTTGACTTTGATCACCTCTCCACGAGAGCACACCTCAAAATCACAAAGAGAGGGAAATGAAGAAGAGAGAGAGAGAGAGAGAGAGAGAGAGAGAGAGAGAGAGAGAGAGAGAGAGAGAGAGAGAGAGAGAGAGAGAGAGAGAGTGAGAGAGAGCGAGAGGAGAAAGAGAGAGAGATTGACAACATTAAATGAGAAGACTATGAATTAAGACAGTACATTCACACAAGCGTGTTACTTTGACAAGTAAAAAAAAACACACACTGAATAAAAACAGACTCCATTCAATAAAGCTGTAGCCCAGTACCTTGTATCCTATGTCACAGATGTCAATAGGGTCATTGTCACCACAGCATCCTGTATCTCTGTCTTTGTGGCCTGGGTCCTCCCATGTCTGACAGTAAATAAAGATGAGAGGATTGAGAGAACAGTGATTGAATTAACTGCAACTTATAAAGGCGTTATAAAAGCATTCATAAACCCTATAGATGCTTCAGAAATCATTCATAGGCAAATCTCACGCTACAAAGGTACTGATAAGGACGGGCAAATTAGTGTTTTCTTTTATACTGTAATTTGATCAACTTTCAATACATTTCCCCAAGCTGTTTCTATTCTAGGGAGGCTGTAGGCCGTACATTTTACATTTTAGTCATTTAGCAGACGCTCTTATCCAGAGCGACTTACAGTTAGTGAGTGCATACATTTTTCATACTAGCCCCCCCCCCCACATGGGAAACGAACCCAAAACCCTGGCGTTGCAAGCGCCACGCTCTACCGACTGAGCTACAGGGGCACTACTGCTGTACACCACTGGTTAACGCGCCTGAGGGATGGCTCCATAATTCCAGATGTATCCTTTGTGTGGAAACACGTTGGCCACATAACGAAGGTTCCCCTTTTTGATATCTTGCTTCAATGGATTTAGAGGGTCTTTGGTGGCAATCTGAGGGCAATAATACATCATTAACATGAAACAATGAATGGAAATATTAAAGTGACTGATGACTTTTTAACATACATTGAGCTAACAAAGGCTCATACGACCTCAAGGCAAGTATTGAAACAAACCTCCATCTTTGCATTGGTCCATCTGGGCACCTCAACAACAGCATGGAAGATGTTCTGTTGGAGGAAATAGTCTGAGTTAACTCAACAACAGCATGGAAGATGTTCTGCTGGAGGAAATAGTCTGAGTTAACTCAACAACAGCATGGAAGATGTTCTGTTGGAGGAAATAGTCTGAGTTAACTCAACAACAGCATGGAAGATGTTCTGTTGGAGGAAATAGTCTGAGTTAACTCAACAACAGCATGGAAGATGTTCTGTTGGAGGAAATAGTCTGAGTTAACTCAACAACAGCATGGAAGATGTTCTGTTGGAGGAAATAGTCTGAGTTAACTCAACAACAGCATGGAAGATGTTCTGCTGGAGGAAATAGTCTGAGTTAACTCAACAACAGCATGGAAGATGTTCTGTTGGAGGAAATAGTCTGAGTTAACTCAACAACAGCATGGAAGATGTTCTGTTGGAGGAAATAGTCTGAGTTAACTCAACAACAGCATGGAAGATGTTCTGTTGGAGGAAATAGTCTGAGTTAACTCAACAACAGCATGGAAGATGTTCTGCTGGAGGAAATAGTCTGAGTTAACTCAACAACAGCATGGAAGATGTTCTGCTGGAGGAAATAGTCTGAGTTAACTCAACAACAGCATGGAAGATGTTCTGCTGGAGGAAATAGTCTGAGTTAACTCAACAACAGCATGGAAGATGTTCTGCTGGAGGAAATAGTCTGAGTTAACTCAACAACAGCATGAAATATGTTCTGTTGAGAGGAAATAGTCAAAGTTAACACAATTGTTTCAGATAGCACCACATTTCTATTGAAAAACACAATTAAATAATGATGTGTGGTTAATCACACACACACACACACAAACACACACACACACCAACAAGAATACCTGAGCTTCATCTGCATAAATTGGTATGTCATGGAATGGAGAGACGTATTTTCCATCAGTATTTCCTGTGTAGAGAGACACAGTGATGAATGCACAGTATATATCAGAAACATACTACTGTACTAATACATTCCGGTAACTTCAAACCACCTGATTATTAATTAACAGTAATGTGGGGGGACTTACGCCAACATGGAACTCATCAACTCACATACTGACACACTGTAGATACCTATATTGTAGCATGAGAGCCACACTGTAGTCTGTACATGTCAAGCTGTATAGCTACAACCACTAAAGTTTAGTTCATCACACGCCAAGCTAGACACAGCTACAGTCTAATTCTTTAGCTTCGTATATATATATATATACCAAACTATACGTTGATGTATTGAAAGAGCTGGTCACTCACTGAAGAACACCCTGTAGTCCAGTGTGTTGGGCTTGCCCCGCTCCTCGATGGTGAAGCTCATGTCTACTGCTTTATTTTGTCCAGTCTGCTTCCTTGGTACTGCTGCTAGTTGGTGTGTTACCTGTAGGAGTAGACAATGGGAAGCCCATCTCCTCCTAATACAGGTTAACTAGCAGGTTAAGACCGTAGGTTGGAGAGTGAGGGAGTATGCGTAGGAGGGGTGCACACCTCTTAAGGCAATGGAAACGCAGGGCTTGGTGACGTCAGGCTTGATCTGCGTGTGTGTGTGTGTGTGTGTGTGTGTGAGACAACAGAAGTGTGTGTGTGTGTGGGGGGGGGGGGGGCAAGCCTATAAGGCTCTGTGTTAGTATGTGAACAAGGAACTACCTTCAACGTTACAATAACTGCACAGTTAAATATAGCCCAGTACATGGGTGAATGTAGACTCTTGAGAAAGCTATAATTGGCCCTTGGTAGTCTAACCTAATCTCTTTGCTGCATAGTCCTACTGCTTCCTTGTAAGTCCCTGATCCCTACTACTGTATAAGACAACAAGATCAGAGGCTGTTCAAAATACAACACATTACTGTCCTCGCTTGGTAAGTGTTTGGATGCCCAGTTTCCTCCACAATGTAGTAGAGATACAATATAATAGCATTAGCTGGTGCAAATGTCAGGGCTTTTGAGTACCTTTTCATTCAAACTAAAACAGATGGAGCTGACTGGTAGTTAGAGATAGACCAATTAAGACCATGCTTAAGTGTTATGCCCATGGCGTGACCTTTCACCACCTGTGTACGTCCCAAATGGCACCCTATTTCCTAAATAGTGCACTGCTTTTGACCAGAGATCTATGGTGCCTTAGGGCAATCTTACAGATTGTAAATGCAAATAAAATACATGATATCATTCACTTTATCTTTTGGATCTATATTCATGATAATAATCTAGTATTCGTGCTCTGAAAACAGATAACCTAGTCTTCATGCTCTGAAAACAGATAATAACCTAGTCTTCATGCTCTGAAAACAGATAATAACCTGGTCTTCATGCTCTGAAAACAGATAATACCTGGTCTTCATGCTCTGAAACAGATAATAACCTGGTCTTCATGCTCTGAAAACAGATAATAACCTGGTATTCATGCTCTGAAAACAGATAATAACCTGGTCTTCATGCTCTGAAAACAGATAATAACCTGGTCTTCATGCTCTGAAAACAGATAATAACCTGGTATTCATGCTCTGAAACAGATATATGGTTCTGCTCTGAAACAATATAAACTGGTCTCAATGCTTGAAAACAGATAATAACTGGTCTTCACTCTGAACATAATACTGGTCTTCATTCTGAAACAGATAATAATCTGTTTCTGCTCTGAAAACAGATAATAACCTGGTATTCATGCTCTGAAAACAGATAATAACCTGGTCTTCATGCTCTGAAAACAGATAATATCCTGGTATTCATGCTTTGAAAACAGATAATAACCTGGTCTTCATGCTCTGAAAACAGATAATAACCTGGTATTCATGCTCTGAAAACAGATAATAACCTGGTCTTCATGCTCTGAAAACAGATAATAACCTGGTCTTCATGCTCTGAAAACAGATAATAACCTAGTCTTCATGCTCTGAAAACAGATAATAACCTGGTCTTCATGCTCTGAAAACAGATAATAACCTGGTCTTCATGCTCTGAAAACAGATAATAACCTGGTATTCATGCTCTGAAAACAGATAATAACCTGGTATTCATGCTCTGAAAACAGATAATAACCTGGTCTTCATGCTCTGAAAACAGATAATAACCTGGTATTCATGCTCTGAAAACAGATAATAACCTAATATTCATGCTCTGAAAACAGATAATTTAATCATTTTAAAAATTCACACACAATGGGTACTGTAACGATCAACCAAACTATATAGACTACATTTAGCAAGCAAATTAATCCAAGGAGCTGATGAAATAAAATTTGGAATCAAAATATTTATTCAGTGTTTTCTAAATGAGTAAAGTAAATCCATTCACAGAGGCATGTGAGCTACAACGTGGGTGTTGACAGTAAACTCAGACTGCTTGATTTAATGTCCCTCTACATAAGGAGAGACAGCACATCTCTCCAGTTATGCTGATAGGTTGAAGACCATAAAAAAATATGTAGCACCTAATTGCCATTCCTTTGGTGATGAAAACACTGAGGCCCGTTGTTAATAAGGACTATGTACTAGGTGTAGCTCTTGATGTGCTCTGGAAAGGCTACTGTAAAGTGTAAACAGCAACATCTAGTCATCTCTCAACTGAGCCCACCTCAAATGGACTTTCAGCAATGGCAGCGACTACAGTAGGCCCATGTGTTCTGTTCTGGAGAGGCCTCAAGGTTGATAGTTCCCCTGCAGCAAACATGATGGAAAAATGTAATGAAATAGAGGCCAAACAATCGAATCGCTGAAGAATCAAAAGCAATTAATTGTACTATTGAAAAAGTCTGAAGGCACAGCATGCAATCGTCATTGTCTCTGGGTGTGGATAGAATGTCCATCTTAGAAGAAGACATGTTTCTAGTTGTCTGTTGTAATTTGAATTTCAAATGTTTGAGGAAATTGCTGAATGGCAGTTAACAAGTTGTTGTCCAAAGGATTTGACTTCAAGTTGATCCACTTCAGAGCTGGCATGGCCTGCAACTTTTCCATGGGGAGTTCTGTGGGAGAGATGAGGAGATGACACATTATTAGACAACTGAGAAAGAGCCAATCAATGTTCAAAAGAGTCTGGTTCCTGATTCTCCACACTTCTCCTACTTCTCTGCACTTGCTCACTTTCTCTCACGGATTAAACAACGGTACAGCCAATTAACTCCCTACAGCCAATTCGAACACCAATCCAATGGTATTAACTTCCTCCAGCCAATTCTAACACCAATCCAATGGTATTAACTTCCTCCAGCCAATTCTAACACCAATCCAATGGTATTAACTTCCTCCAGCCAATTCTAACACCAATCCAATGGTATTAACTTCCTCCAGCCAATTCTAACACCAATCCAATGGTATTAACTTCCTCCAGCCAATTCTAACACCAATCAAATGGTATTAACTTCCTCCAGCCAATTCTAACACCAATCCAATGGTATTAACTTCCTCCAGCCAATTGTAACACCAATCCAATGGTATTAACTTCCTCCAGCCAATTCTAACACCAATCCAATGGTTTTAACTTCCTCCAGCCAATTGTAACACCAATCCAATGGTATTAACTTCCTCCAGCCAATTCTAACACCAATCCAATGGTATTAACTTCCTCCAGCCAATTCTAACACCAATCCAATGCATTTAAATCCTTGGAAGAAGGGTAGAGAATGGGAATGCAGCACTGACTCCATCTTACCAGTGATATCATTCCCTTCCAGGTTGATCCTTTCCAGTGACTGGATCTCCGTCAGTCTCTCAGGGAAGACAGACAACTTGTTGTTGGCCAAGTTGATGCTGGTCAGATGCTCCAGCTCCCCAACTACGTCTGGCAGTTTAGTGATCACATTGCCGTGCAAGTCTAGTTCTGAAAAGGTATTGGAAAATACTGCTAAATCACTAGCTAACTTACCCGAATATTCCCTGCACAGATTCGACACATTCAGTCAAACATTTGTAGAATATTGGTGTATTAGGCTAGCCTGGTCCCAGATCTGTTTGTGCTCTTGCCGAAACAGACTGGCCCCAGGCTAGTGTTAGGCTGCTATACTGGCCCCAGGCTAGTGTTAGGCTGCTATACTGGCCCCAGGCTAGTGTTAGGCTGCTATACTGGCCCCAAGCTAGTGTTAGGCTGCTATACTGGCCCCAGGCTAGTGTTAGGCTGCTATACTGGCCCCAGGCTAGTGTTAGGCTGCTATACTGGCCCCAGGCTAGTGTTAGGCTGCTATACTGGCCCCAAGCTAGTGTTAGGCTGTTATACTGGCCCCAGGCTAGTGTTAGGCTGCTATACTGGCCCCAAGCTAGTGTTAGGCTGCTATACTGGCCCCAGGCTAGTGTTAGGCTGCTATACTGGCCCCAGGCTAGTGTTAGGCTACTATACTGGCCACCAAGCTAGTGTTAGGCTGCTATACTGGCCCCAGGCTAGTGTTAGGCTGCTTAACTGGCTCCAGGCTAGTGTTAGGCTGCTATACTGGCCCCAGGCTAGTGTTAGGCTGCTATACTGGCCCCAGGCTAGTGTTAGGCTGCTATACTGGCCCCAGGCTAGTGTTAGGCTGCTATACTGGCCACCAAGCTAGTGTTAGGCTGCTATACTGGCCCCAGGCTAGTGTTAGGCTGCTATACTGGCCCCAAGCTAGTGTTAGGCTGCTATACTGGCCCCAGGCTAGTGGTAGGCTGCTATACTGGCCCCAGGCTAGTGTTAGGCTGCTATACTGGCCCCAGGCTAGTGTTAGGCTGCTATACTGGCCCCAGGCTAGTGTTAGGCTGCTATACTGGCCACCAAGCTAGTGTTAGGCTGCTATACTGGCCCCAGGCTAGTGTTAGGCTGCTATTACAAAGACGTATGCTACCTTAAAGATAAAGGCTTTAAGGCTATCAATCTGATAACTTGTGATAGTGTTATGTAAAAGGCCCCTCCACTAAATCATGTTTAGTTAGGGGGGGAAGTATGCATGTATAGCTACCTCTCAATTGAGTGAAGGTTTTGAAGAATTTGCCAGTAACTCCCTTCATCTCATTGTCAGCCAACGTGACGATGTGTATCTTCTCTGCAACGCTGTTGAGGACCCTGAATACGCCATCTGGGAAACTGATCAGTTTGCAGTTCGACAGATCTAAAGACATAAAGGAGAACAATTAGGAATGGCCATGATCGAATCCCAAATGGCACCCTATTCCCTATTTAGTGCACTACTTTTGACCAAGGCCCATAGGGCTCTGTTCAAAACTAGTGCACTACATAGGGAATACGGTGGTATTTGGGATGCACATATGAGAAAGCATGGCCTAGAGCTGAAGAAGATTAGTGTTATATTGAAGAGGGGATTTTCAATATAAACTTTACAGTCATACCTCCAATCATTGTTCAAATCTAACGTTACTGCAACCCTCTGGTTCTTATGTCAAATATGCAATTAACTTCACGACAATACAATTGATTGCCATAGTCAGGCTGAGAGGACAACATAATATCATCCTGGAAGTATAACTTTTGGTAACACATTTACTGTCATCTGGTGGCCAGAAGTAGTACGACTCAACATGCTGGAGAGACACTACATGATCAAAGGTATGTGGACACCTGCTCATCGAACATCTCATTCCAAAATCATGGGCATTAATATGGAGTTGGTCCCCCCCTTTGCTGCTATAACAGCCTCCACTCTTCTGGGAAGGCTTTCCACTAGATGTTGGAACATTGCTGCGGGGACTTGCTTCCATTCAGCCACAAGAGCATTAGTGAGGTCGGGCACTGATGTTGGGCGATTAGGCCTGGCTCGCAGTCGGCGTTCCAATTCATCCCAAAGGTTTTCAATGGGGTTGAGGTCAGGGCTCTGTGCAGGCTAGTCAAGTTCTTCCACACTGATCTCGACAAACCATTTCTGTATGGACCTCGCTTTGTGCACGGGGGCATTGTCATGCTGATGGTGCCACGTTGAAAAGCTCTTCAGTAAGGCCATTGTAATGCCAATGTTTGTCTATGGAGATTGCATGGCTGTGTGCTCGATTTTATAAACCTGTCAGCAACGGGTGTGGCTGAAATGGCCGAATCCACTAATGTTAAGGGGTGTCCCATATACGTTTGTATATATAGTGTAGCTGTAGATCAGGGATCATCAACTAGATTCAGCCGCCAGACTAGTTTTCCTGGAGTGGATGGTCAGGTGGCCGGAACATAATTAGAAATCATTTTTTTTAATTTTTTTTTTATACTTTGTTTATTGAAGTTTCAGTACCAGCATTTAGTAAATAATTGCACTTGAAAGTTATTTGGTATGAATATGGAACAACAATTTGAAGACAACGATACAGCAAAACATAGAGAGACAGACATGAAATAAAAAATAGACATTAAACACATAAATAAGATAAAACACAAAAAAAAAAAAAAAAAAAAAAAAAAAAGGAAAAATATCTGTTTTGATCCAGTTGTTATAGGTCAGCTAACACAGTTATTACCGTCCTTAACATCCGAGATGTCGTATATGCACATCCCAGGCTTCTTACATCACCAATATATAAATACACATCACTCTGGAACTGCAGGGAAATGTATTCTTTTAACATAAGAAAAGAAGGGAGCCCACTTTGCATAGAATTTGTCTACAGACCCATTGAGTGTCTGTTTTATTTTCTCCAACTTTATGCAATTCAAAATAGATTTAATCCAAAGAGCATGAGAAGGGGCTGCAGGGGATTTCCATCTAAGTAAAATTAATCGTCTCGCTAACAACGTGACAAAGGCAATTACATCCTTATTCATTTTGGTCAATTGTATTGTGGGTAAGGAAACTCCAAATAATGCAATGAGAGGGTCTGGCTCGATCTGTGTGCCGCTTAATTCTGAGAGTGTGTTAAAGATGTCTTTCCAGAAACCAACAAGAGATGGGCAGCACCAAAACATGTGCACATGATTAGCAGGGGACTGGTTACATCGAACACAATTAGGGTTCACATCCTTGTAAATTTTTGATAGTCTTGCTTTGGTCCAGTGGGCCCTATGAATGAGTTTGCATTGGATGAGGCCGTGTCGAGCGCAAATAGAAGAGCTATGTACCCTTTTGAGTGCCCCTTCCCATAGTTCATCAGATATTTCCTCACCCAGTTCCTCCTCCCAAGAGGATTTGATATTGTTTAATGAGATGGCTTGTAGTGAGCAAATTTGACTATAGATTATTGACAATGTGCCTTTCTGATTAGGAAGTGGGGTGAGAAATGTGTCGAACTGTGTTCCACCAGAAAGGTTGGGGAATCCTGGATCTAAGCTGCGGACATAACTCCGGACTTGTAAGAACCTAAAAAAATGATGTCTGGGGAGACCAAATTTAGCTGATAATTGTTGAAACGTACTAAATGTATTGTTAGTATACAGATCTCTGAATCTTTTAATACCGAGATTAGACCATGTTGAGAAAGCACCATCAATCATAGATGGGGGAAAAGCTGGGTTTGAGGCTACCGGAGCCAAGGAAGAGGTTGTTTGAAACCCAAAGTGGCGCCTAAATTGATTCCAGATCTTCAATGTTGTTTTGACACATATATTATTGGTGAAGGAGGAGTAAGGGCCTGTAACAGAGGAGTGAGCGAGGGAAGACAATGATGCCGGTGTAGACGAGGCAGCCTCCATCTCCAGCCAAGTTGGGGGTGGGAATATCACTCTGCTCTGCAACCAGTACTGAATGATCCTAAGGTTAGCGGCCCAATAATAGAATCTGAAATCTGGTAGAGCTAGACCGCCGTCTGGTTTGGGCCTCTGCAAGAGCTGTTTTCGCATCCTAGGAGGCTTTTTGTCCCATATAAAGGGTAGAATTAGGCCGTCGATCTTTTTGAAAAATGTATTGGGTAGAAATATTGGAAGGCACTGATAGAGGTATAAGAATTTAGGGAGAGTATTCATTTTAATAGAGTTAATTCTAGCAACTAAGGAGAGGTGTAGCAAAGACCACCGTTCCAAATCGTCCTTAGTACGGGTTAAGAGAGGAGCAAAGTTGGCTTGAAAAAGGTTTTCAAACCTAATTGTGACATGTACCCCGAGATAAATAAAACTACTGTGAGCTATTTTAAATGGCAAGTTATGTAAAGGGGATTTTTTTGCAGCCATGTTAAGTGGCATCAGTTCACTTTTACTGAGATTTAGTTTATACCCTGATAAGTGACCGAAGGATGCGAAAGTAGCAAGGGCAGCAGGGACAGAGACAGAAAGATTGGATGTGTATATTAATAAATCATCTGCATATAAAGACAGTTTGTGTTCGTGTCCGTATCTGACTATGCCTTTGATGAGGGGGTTGGAGCGAAGTGCTATTGCAAGTGGCTCTATGGCGAGGGCAAACAGTAAGGGACTTAAAGGGCAACCCTGACGTGTCGATCTTTGCAAAGGGAAGCGATCTGATTGAGTGTTATTAGTCCTGACAGAGGCTTGGGGGGATGAGTACAGAAGTTTTATCCAGGTCATGAATTTGGAGCCAAAGCCAAATTTATTTAGAGTGTAAAAAAGGTATTTCCATTCCACCCGATCAAACGCTTTCTCCGCGTCCAGGGATATAATGGCTTCAGAGGTATTGTCGACAGAAGGATTGTATATAATATTAAATAATCTTCGGAGATTGAAGAATGAGTGTCTATTTTTTATAAATCCTGTTTGATCCGGAGAGATAATTGATGGGAGGACTGTTTCTAGCCGCGTTGCCAGAATTTTGGCTAGAATTTTATAGTCCACATTTAGCAGGCTAATTGGACGGTATGATGCACAGTCAAGAGGGTCTTTGTTTTTTTTAAGAATAACACAAATGGTTGCTTGAGTGAGAGTATGTGGGAGAGCACCATTTACAAATGCATCATTGTACATTTCAATTAGAATAGGGGCTATTTTGGAGATAAACTTTTTATAAAACTCTGTCGAGTAGCCATCAGGCCCTGGGCTTCTCCCAGATTGAAGGGATTTGACAGCGTTAGACAGTTCTTCAACAGTGATCGGCTGCTCTAATTTTTTAACCAAATCCCGGCCGACCGAAGGCACAGAAAGTGAGTGGAAGAAATCATCCAATTCCAGTGTATCCGCTTTACTTTCAGAGGTATATAGAGACTGGTAATATCTCTTGAACTCCTCATTGATCCCCCCAGGATCTAATGATATCCCAGATGATGTACGAATTTTTGTAATCTGAGATGATGATGATAGTTGACGTAACTTGTGAGCTAATAATTTACTGGCTTTATCTCCTTGTTCATAGTAAGTGCTCCTAGACTTGACAAGCATTTCAGTAACCTGGTCTGTTAATAGTGTGTCAAATTCTGCTTGCAGAGTTAAACGTTCCTTATAAATATCCGGGGATGGTGAAACGGCATAAATGTCATCTAATTGGGCAATACAGCGTGTTAACATAGATAACCTATGCCTTTTCAATTTGTTCTCATGTGCGGTGTAGGAGATAATTTCACCTCTGATATAAGCTTTCAAAGTTTCCCAGAGAGTAGACGCAGAGATGTTTGGGGTTCTATTTGTAATCATGAAAAAGTCGATTTGACTCAAAACAAAATTGACAAAGTGTTCATTACTGAGCAGTTGAGTTTTTAGTCGCCAAGGCGGTCGCTGATTGTCAACATTTTGAAAAGCTACTTCCATAGTAACAGGGGCGTGGTCAGATACAACAATTGGGTTATATGAACATGAAGATATGGAGTGGAGGAGCCGGTCATCAACAAGGAAGTAGTCTATGCGCGTAAAAGTGTGGTGAACCGATGAGAAAAAAGAGTATGCTTTCCCAGCTGGATTAACCATTCTCCAAGGATCTGAGACTGCGAATTCAGACATAAAGGTTCGAACAACTCTAGCTGAGGTTGATAAGGTGGTAGGTTTAGTGGAGGATCGATCCAATTGTGGGTCTAACCAACAGTTAAAGTCACCTCCTAAAATCAACATATGGGTGGACATATCTGGGAGTGTAGAGAAAACCGATTTGAAAAAATCACCATTGTCCCAATTAGGAGCATAGATATTAACAAGAAGAACCTTTGTATTGAGCAGCCTACCACTGACAATTATATATCTACCATGGGGATCTGCGACCACCTTAGAACATGTAAAAGGTACCGATCTGTGAAGTAAAATAGCCACCCCTCTCGCCTTACTCTGAAATGAGGAATGGAACACCTGACCCACCCATCTGCACCTAAGACTTGAGTGTTGTGATACCTTCAGATGAGTTTCTTGGAGAAAGATGATGTGAGCTTTCAAATGATGAAGATGGTGTAGCACCTTACTACGTTTAACTGGGTTATTTATGCCCCTGCAGTTCCAAGTAAGAAAATTAAAGCCATTCCCTCCAGCAGTATGGGCTACACTAGGCTGAGTCATATCTTAAGAGAGAGAGAGGATGTGTAAAGGACAAGGTACAATGTAAACTGAAGATCTTAGTTGAACCTAAAAGCGCAAATGTAAAAAACAAAGACAAGCGAAGAGGCACAAAAAACATATACAAACTATATACAAATAGAGAGTGAACAAACCCTTCCCTCACACCCGCCCTTGCCGAAGCATCTCCCCAAATGAGATGCAAGCAAAACCCTAAATACAAAGAAAGTTTAGAGCTAAGCATGATAACTCTTACTCTGTGCTACCTAAGATTAGTGACCATTTAACTAGAGTAAGCCAAACATGGATAGAATGGTCCCCAACAGAGTCTAAGGAAAACTATCCTCGATTAAGAGAGGTTTAACCTCGACGCAGATGGTAAATGATCAAACTGAAACAGCCATGCAGACCCCCAGATATTGGCATTAGAGGCGGCAAACCTGGGCTGGAAATAAAGAGATAAAAAAGAGAATGACCTTCATATGTCGATGAACCCAGCAAAGATGGCTTCGTTAGTCACCCATTCGGCCTGCTAACTAGCCTGCTAGGAAGACCAGCCAGCCAACCATTTGTTACACACCATGCGGTACAACAGCCGCTTTCACGTTCTTGTTGATGAAATCTGCCGCTATAGCCGGGTCCTCGAATCTGTGCATGGAGCCGTCCGGTAAAGTCAGTCTCAAAACCGCAGGGTAGATGAGGCCGAACTTCACGCCCGGGCAGGCGTGTAGTTGGCGTTTCACAGCTCCAAAGCTAGCCCGCCTCTTAGCCACAGCTGTTGTGTAGTCCGCAAATATCGAGACTCTTTTACCCTTATGTAGAAGAGGGGATGCTTCTCCCGATCTTCTCAGTATGTCGTTGCGGACGTGAAAGAAATGCACCCTGATGACAAATGGTCGCGGGGGTTCTCCATCCCTGGGTCGGCTACGCAGAGTGCGGTGAGCCCGGTCTAGCAATGGCTTCTCCTCTAGCCCGAGCAGCTCCTGAAGTAGCTGGGCCATGTACTCCGTGGGCCTTGGGCCCTCCACTCCCTCCGGTATTCCCAGTAGACGAATGTTGTTCCTCCGCATTCTACTTTCCATATCTTCGCATCTATTATCGAGGAATGCCACCCTAGTTGTCAATGAGCCGACGTTAGCCTCTAGCTCGCTAATGCGAGTGCTGTGGTCTGTAGCACCTCGCTCCAAATCCGATAAAGTCACCCCATGTGCGTCGAGCTTATTCTGTATACTCTCGATAGATTTTTTAAGCTCGTCTTTGATCGTTGATATCTCTGACCTGAGATTGGTAGAGAGACAGTCAATTTTTCCGAAAATGTCGGTTTTGAGGGTGCCTATCACGGATTGCAGCATCTCCACAGTCAGTGTTTCCGTGGGGCCGGCATTGGCAGCGTTCAGGGCGGGGGTGAGTCGGGAGAAGTTGCAGGCTTGCTGCGGCCTGCTCTTGCAGACTCTGTTTTTGGCCGGGTTGATGTCATTACGAATTTAAATTTATTAAACTTGAACTGAGTTGTTTATGGGTCTCTTCAGACGCCTGGGCAAACAGAAATGTATGCAATTTTGCAAAGTTAAATATATAAATTTGGTCACTAATTCAGGAGCGATAGGGAGACGCGTGCTACATCCTTGGCTTCCAACAGCGCCCCCGCTAGAAATCATTTTTAGACTGCAAATGTACTGCACGAAGCCCAAACAGATATAAAGTTTGACTCAAACATGATCATTTCAAACCTTGCTTACATTTGTATATGATCAGATGGCTCTCTATTATGTGTGGGAATACTTGGGAACAGATTTCTTAAATTAAAATCACTTGGAGCTGATTTCCTGGTATTTTTACAGTCTTTTATGTCCAACAAATGAAAATTCCACATTACAAAAAAATTAAAAATTATAATTATACAAAACATTTGCTCAGAACACTTGGGGGGGCCAAATAAAACCACCCGTGGGCCAAATGCTTATAAATGGCTTTTAATTCCACTTGAAAAAATTAAGATATCCAGTAACATATTTCTTTCCATACAGTGCATCCCAAATGACACCCTATTCCCTTTATAGTGCACTACTTTGGAACCAGAAACCCTATGGGCCCTGTTCAAAACTAGTGTAGTATATAGGTGTCACGGATTCTGCCGAGGCTGCCCCTCCTCCTTGCTCGGGCAGGCTTCGGCGTTCGTCGTCACCGGAATACTAGCTGCTGCCGATCTAAGTTCTCTGTTTCTATGTTGCACCTGTTGTCTGATTGTCACACACCTGTTGCCCATTATCGTAATCACGCCTTCCCTATTTAACCCAGTGGCTCCCAATGTGTTTTGTGCGTGGTTGTTTTCGTTCCGTGTGTCGTTTGTGAGCGGTTTAGTTCCTCCCTGTGTGGAGAGATTTCTGTATTGTATTTCTTTACTCATTTCTCAGTAAAGTACGTTTCTTCGAGTTCTGTGTCCTGCGCCTGACTTCGACCCACCGCATTACACTGACACTCGTGACAATAGGGAATAGTATCTTCCTTTTCTGTCTTATGTACAAGGCAAAGGGTGGCTACCTTGAAGAATCTCAAATATAAAATATATTTTGATTTGTTTAACACCTTTTTGGGTTACTACATGATTCCATATGTGTTATTTCATCGTTTTGATGTATTCACTATTATTCTACAATGTAGAAAATAGTAAAAATAAAGAAAAACCCTGGAATGAGTAGGTGTGTCCAAACTTTTGACTGGTACTGTATGTAAAGGATTTAATTCACTTACCCAGAGTATCTTTCTCCTCCTCCACTGTCGCATTGACTCTCCGGGCAACATTGGCCACAGCCTCTGCCATTATGCTAGGTCTACGTATCTCACCTGGGGTAGAGAGGGGAGAGGTCGTTGTAATACTTCAGACATACATTTTCAAACCAGACATTTTCAACTGAATTTTCTTTGGCATATTAAAATATTATTCATTCATCAGGTTAACACGTTGTTGTTTCTCCATGTAATTTGGTAATGAGATATTTTTAACATGTTACCAGATCATGCATACAAGCTTGCTAGTTGCAACTTTGTGTCAAGGACTCCTCTATTGTACATTGGAATGTTACAATGAATCTTGTTCAATATGTCAGCCACTGCTGCAACGTTGTGTCCTCTTCACAAAGTTCACAGAAAGCACATGAAGAACTTGATTACCTGTCCTACGTCGAGTTATAGGCTAGCTACAACCGTTAGTTAGCTATTAAAGCAAGCTTAATTCGTACTAGTAATAGTTAAATTGCTCGTTTCCTAATGTAGCCTACTCATAATTCCACAAACGACGTCCGGGTGGGGAGCTGTATAATAGATAGTGCAATAGAATAAGCATATATAAACGTAGATGCATCAATCTACCCCTAAACTTGAACTGTGGTTGACAGCTGCGAAAGTTAGCGAGTCAGTGCAAGCTCTGTCCAATCAAATCCATTCATTCTCAAACACATTTGGCGACAGACTATTTTTAGCCAAAGAGATACAACGAGATAAAGACTATCAATGCACTTTTCAGATGACCTGTTCCGACGTTATTGTTCAAATCAGTCCAATACGTTAAAATACTTTGTTTTTGTGGGCCATTTGACTTTAAAGACACTATTTAAGCCTCTTGCTTCCGTCAAGATTTACATCGCTTCTACAGTCCAACCTACCGTATTGACGAGAGTCAAAGGCGCGCAAGGAAGTTTCAGAGAAATAACTGAGAACTACAGATCTAAATTCAGCCCATATTTTTACGCAGGATTGATCTGTATGAATATCAGGCTGTAACGGGGTGTTACGTTGTATCAAGTTGTGTCATCACAGTGTACAGTACATCAGCACTATTCGCACACATGCGACTAAGATCAACTGATTGTTGAGTTATAACAGTATAAAAACTGAAGTTCAGAGTTTCACCTACCTTAGGATCCTGGTTAGGGCTTAGCCCGCTGTGTAAGGACAGAGTTGTCCTGCCACAGGCACTATTCTGGAAACCCCCTGACTGGTCAACTATTCAGTGTGCTTTGTCAATGGTCCTGAAGACAATGGCCATGTATTGATAGGTACTCTCTGTTCATTCACAACATTTCATCACTCATGGTGAATAGCATGCCAGGTGAATGAGGCCAGAAGATGCAGTTAGTGCATATACTTTTTTTGCAAGTGTTCCCCAGTTATTGAGCAGTTACACATTAGTTATTACATAGTACTTTATATTTTCTAATGTATTTTTGACTTTATGTTTAGTTTTACCCCATATGCAACTCTGTGTTGTTGTTTTTTATCGCACTGCTTTGCTTTATCTTGGCCAGGTCGCAGTTGTAAATGAGAACTTGTTCTCAACTGGCTTACCTGGTTAAATAAAGGTGAAATAAAACATTAAAATAAATATCTGATTTAGTTATTGAGAAGTAGGATATTTACAGTGAGATACGCTTATTTACATTCCTGAACTTTTGGGGCATTTATTTTGGTGTATTTATTAGTAATTTTGAGAAAAAAGAGAGAAGAGAGTTTTCGTTCATTCTAAAAACTGAAATTCCATCCACCTTTATTGTTTATTTTGTGTCAGGAATGAGTTTTTTTGTGGTAGTTTCAGGTAAATATGCGAACAATCCAGCACAGTGCATCACTCAACTCAGAGAACTCCAGAACCCATGGAATTAGAATGAATGAATATTCCCAACTGAGTTCACAGCAGGTCATTCTAGTGAATGTACATATCATGGTTTTCATAGACAAGAGTCAAACGCATATGTTGTGTTACTAATGAATGAATAACATGAGAAAAAATACATACACTTTAATCAGCTAACAAAATAGTTTTACAAAATCAAACATACAGTCGTGGTCAAAAGTTTTGAGAATGACACAAGTATTGGTCTTCACAAAGTTCGCTGCTTCAGTGTTATGAGATATTTTTGTCAGATGTTACTATGGTATACTGAAGTATAATTACAAGCATTCCATAAGTTTCAAAGGCTTTTATTGACAATTACATTAAGTTTATGCAAAGAGTCAATATTTGCAGTGTTGACCCTTCTTTTTCAAGACCTCTGCAATCCGCCCTGGCATGCTGTCAATTAACTTTTGGGCCACATCCTGACTGATGGCAGCCCATTCTTGCATAATCAATGCTTGGAGTTTGTCAGAATTTGTGGGTTTTTGTTTGTCCACCCGCCTCTTGAGGATTGACCACAAGTTCTCAATGGGATTAAGGTCTGGGGAGTTTCCTGGCCATGGACCCAAAATGTCGATGTTTTGTTCCCCGAGCCACTTAGTTATCACTTTTGCCTTATGGCAAGGTGCTCCATCATGCTGCAAAAGGCATTCTTTATTCATGGCTGTGTTCTTAGGCATAATTGTGAGTGAGCCCACTCCCTTGGCTGAGAAGCAACCCCACACATGAATGGTCTCAGGATGCTTTACTGTTGGCATGACACAGGACTGATGATAGCGCTCACCTTGTCTTCTCCGGACAAGGTGTTTTCCGGATGCCCCAAACAATCGGAAAGAGGATTCATCAGAGAAAATGACTTTACCCCAGTCCTCAGCAGTCCAATCCCTGTACCCTTTGCAGAATATCAGTCTGTCCCTGATGTTTTTCCTGGAGAGAAGTGGCTTCTTTGCTGCCCTTCTTGACACCAGGCCATCCTCCAAAAATCTTCGCCTCACTGTGCATGCAGATGCACTCACACCTGCCTGCTGCCATTCCTGAGCAAGCTCTGCACTGGTGGTTCCCCGATCCCGCAGCTGAATCAACTTTAGGAGACGGTCCTGGCGCTTGCTGGACTTTCTTGGGTGCCCTGATGCCTTCTTCACAACAATTGAACCTCTCTCCTTGAAGTTCTTGACGATCCTATAAATGGTTGATTTAGGTGCAATCTTACTAGCAGCAATATCCTTGCCTGTGAAGCCTTTTTTGTTTTGTGCAAAGCAATGATGACGGCACGTGTTTCCTTAACTCAATCAGCATGACAGAGTGATCTCCAGCCTTGTCCTCGTCAACACTCTCACCTGTGTTAACGAGAGAATCACTGACATGATGGCAGCTGGTCCTTTTGTGGCAGGGCTGAAATGCAGTGGAAATGTTTTTTGGAGATTATGTTCATTTTCATGGCAAATAGGGACTTTGCAATTCTGATCACTCTGATCACTCTTCATGACATTCTGGAGTATATGCAAATTTCCATCATCAAAACTGAGGCAGCAGACTTTGTGAAAATTAGTATTTGTGTCATTCTCAAAACGTTTGACGACGACTGTATTAATTATGAAATCCTCCTAAAACAGAGAGAGCAATAAATTAACATAAATACCCAAACTTTATTTTAGTATTATTTACAATAAATATAATGTACCTGTTCCGTTACACCCAGTAGGTGTCTACTATAGTGTAAATAGTGCTTGAATAGTGAATAACATCACCATTTCCTATGACTTCTAATGAAATGGCAGGTCTTCTTACTGATTCCTAAAATCCACAGCAGTCACATTCGGAGAGAAAATCCATCCTGTACATATACAGGCTTTCTAAACATACAGGACATCTGCCATACCGCTTGAGGAGTGCACAAGTCACAATAATCAAAGAGCTTACACAAAGTGTTTTCTTATTGTTTTCAACCATCTGATACAGACTCTTGGATATCAGTTCTGTCAGTGAAATTCCACTCTAATGTTCCGGAACCCTCAGTTGTGTGTCCAAAAGGAGATGAGCGGTAGCCTAGTCTCTTCTCAAGCAGTCGTGAGAAGACGCCCAGGCTTTGCTCACATCGTTTCTTTACTGAAGGTAAAGGTAAAAGCCTGTGACGGGGCTACAGGCAGCCACATTCATCCACAGTCATGTCCTCGTGATGGCGAAGCAGCATTTCTCCATTCTCATAATACAGCATGCTCAGAGGACTCGTCTTGGTGGGGGCGCAACACGCAGAGGGAAGCCGCTCAGGCTGGTAGTGTTTTAGTAGACTCTGGAGGAAAAAGAGACAAGAAGCAATCTGTGAGCAAAAATGTCCAAACAACTTCAAATAGGTATGAAGCATTGCCATAGTATCTAGCAATGGTCAAATAATCAATGAGCTTTGTACAGTTAAGCTATTCGCTGCTCTGGCACCCCAATGGTGGAACAAGCTCCCCCACGACGCCAGGACAGCGGAGTCACTGACCACCTTCCGGAGACACTTGAAACCCTACCTCTTTAAGGAATACCTGGAATAGTATAAAAGTAATCCTTCTACCCCTCCCCCACCCCCCCCATAAAAAATTAAGTGCTTGTCCCACTGGCTATCTTACAGTGAGGGAAAAAAGTATTTGATCCCCTGCTGATTTTGTACGTTTGCCCACTGACAAAGAAATGATCAGTCTATAATTTTAACGGTAGGTTTATTTGAACAGTGAGAGACAGAATAACAACAACAAAATCCAGAAAAACGCATGTAATAAAAATGATAAATTGATTTGCATTTTAATGAGGGAAATATGTATTTGACCCCCTCTCAATCAGAAAGATTTCTGGCTCCCAGGTGTCTTTTATACAGGTAACAAACTGAGATTAGCACACTCTTAAAGGGAGTGCTCCTAATCTCAGTTTGTTACCTGTATAAAAGACACCTGTCCACAGAAGCAATCAATCAATCAGATTCCAAACTCTCCACCATGGCCAAGACCAAAGAGCTCTCCAAGGATGTCAGGGACAAGATTGTAGACTTACACAAGGCTGGAATGGGCTACAAGACCATCGCCAAGCAGCTTGGTGAGAAGGTGACAACAGTTGGTGCGATTATTCGCAAATGGAAGAAACACAAAAGAACTGTCAATCTCCCTTGGCCTGGGGCTCCATGCAAGATCTCACCTTGTGGAGTTGCAATGATCATGAGAACGGTGAGGAATCAGCCCAGAACTACACAGGAGGATCTTGTCAATGATCTCAAGGCAGCTGGGACCATAGTCACCAAGAAAACAATTGGTAATACACTACGCCGTCAAGGACTGAAATCCTGCAGCGCCCGCAAGGTCCCCCTGCTCAAGAAAGCACATATACAGGGCCATCTGTATTTTGCCAATGAACATCTGAATGATTCAGAGGAGATCTGGGTGAAAGTGTTGTGGTCAGATGAGACCAAAATCGAGCTCTTTGGCATCAACTCAACTCGCCGTGTTTTGAGGAGGAGGAATGCTGCCTATGACCCCAAGAACACCACCCCCACCGTCAAACATGGAGGTGGAAACATTATTGCTTTGGGGGTGTTTTTCTGCTAAGCGGACAGGACAACTTCACCGCATCAAAGGGATGATGGACGGGGCCATGTACCGTCAAATCTTGTGTGAGAACCTCCTTCCCTCAGCCAGGGCATTGAAAATGGGTCGTGGATGGGTATTCCAGCATGACAATGACCCAAAACACACGGCCAAGGCAACAAAGGAGTGGCTCAAGAAGAAGCACATTAAGGTCCTGGAGTGGCCTAGCCAGTTCTCCAGACCTTAATCCCATAGAAAATCTGTGGAGGGAGCTGAAGGTTCGAGTTGCCAAACGTCAGCCTCGAAACCGTAATGACTTGGAGAAGATCTGCAAAGAGGAGTGGAACAAAATCCCTCCTGAGATGTGTGCAAACCTGGTGGCCAACTACAAGAAACGTCTGACCTCTGTGATTGCCAACAAGGGTTTTGCCACCAAGTACTAAGTCATGTTTTGCAGAGGGGTCAAATACTTATTTCCCTCATTAAAATGCAAATCAATTTATAACATTTTTGACATGCGTTTTTCTGGATTTTTTTTGTTGTTATTCTGTCTCTCACTGTTCAAATAAAATAAAATTATAGACTGATCATGTCTTTGTCAGTGGGCAAACGTACAAAATCAGCAGGGGATCAAATACTTTTTTCCCCTCACTGTAAGTTGAATGCACCAATTTGTAAGTCGCTCTGGATAAGAGCGTCTGCTAAATGACGTAAATGTAAATATACATTTGAAAACAGTATATTATTTGACACGTTTTGGAAAATCCCGTAGAAACACATTGAAACTTACCTGCATGTAAGCATGATTTGTTGGGTTCAAGTCTTCTCCCAGAGGACTTGGACAGATCCCCTCACATCGATAGGCATTATACTTCTTTGGGAAGACGATCCAGGACCCCCAGCCTATCTGATTGAAGTCTACATGCATATCAACTCTTCGACAGAGCGACGGGTCAATCTCATTGTTTCTGCTGGACACCTCTGGACCTCTCATGGCCGGTGGATCCCTCTGGCCCGAGTGGCCCCTTTTTGTCCTGTGTCTCTTCGGCCTGCGGACCTTCTTGGGCTCGGTGGTGGACAGGAACTTGGACTGTTCGGCTGTGTGGAGGAGGCTAGCCTTGGCCCGGCAGCCCTCCTCTGACCCTGTATGAGAGAAGACAACCAGCAAGGCTCTGTCGCTCACACGCTGACTCTGCTGTGTTCTAGACCCAGCCAACTGGACAGGGTTCTGCTGTGTTCTAGACCCAGCCAACTGGACAGGGTTCTGCTGTGTTCTAGACCCAGCCAACTGGACAGGGTTCTGCTGTGTTCTAGACCCAGCCAACTGGACAGGGTTCTGCTGTGTTCTAGACCCAGCCAACTGGACAGGGTTCTGCTGTGTTCTAGACCCAGCCAACTGGACAGGGTTCTGCTGTGTTTTAGATCCAGCCAACTGGACAGGGTTCTGCTGTGTTTTAGATCCAGCCAACTGGACAGGGTTCTGCTGTGTTTCAGACCCAGCCAACTGGACAGGGTTGGGGAAGAACACATCTCTCTTTGTCTTGTTTGGTGATCTCCTCTTCCCTGAGTTCCTGGAGACCTGTTTCTGGCCGAGCCAGTTCAACAGTGGACCAGTGAGGTTGTAAACCTTCCAGTGCTGAGAGGAGGTGATCACAGAGGAGACAGAGAGATATCCCACCAGCTGGTGTTCCTGGCAGATCCCCTGTGTCTGCCTGCACGGGTAGTCGTGGTGATGGTAGATCTCCACGGTAATGTTGGAAGCCCTCGTCGCTCGGGGAAACCTGAACCTGAGCTCTGCAGCTTGGATCTGGTCGTCGGCCAATAAGGTGGTTAGGTCAAAGGTTGCAGTCCAGCGTCGGTGTCTGTGAGACAAACCTATTGTGAAGAAGAAGAAAAAACAGATTGTTCAGAATTTGCACTGACTAGTTCTTCTTTGAACATTATCATCTGGTCTGGTCTCTCACGTCAACTATGTACTCACATATACGTCTTTAGACAAGCATACATCCCAGTTATCCATCTGAACCACCATACAACGTTAAGTAGTTATATAATCAAAAGATTTGTTTTTATATCACCCATCTTTTTCAAACCCTTTAATGGTCAACTAAGGGTAAAAGAGATTATAATACATTTATACTTATAAAAAAGAGCTCTTAAACAACCATAGAGCTCATGAATAAACTGTTAATTTAGGAGGAATACACATGTTCTATTCAATCCTGGACAGCAATTCAGGCAGAGTATTTAGCATATTGGTTCTGGTTTACATCTAAGTAGTCAGAATGAATCATGCTTGTATTCTAAAAACAATATTGTTTTAATATTTTTAAAGAAATACCATTTTAGAACTAGGCAAAGCATGTTTGAGCATGTTTACAAATAGAAACTTTACTTCAATGCAACTAGGCAACTAGTTTGTGGATTAATCTACCATCGGCTGGGGTCAACATCAACATGTGTGAATTAGGACATGAATTGTGATGCAAAGAAGAACAAGGCATTGAGGTGTGGTACAAAATTCATCAAGAAGATTAAACACTATTGTACTATTGTCCCAATGTAATTGTAACGTTGCTATTGATAATCTATTTGTTGATTAAAGGTACTGTACCAAAACATCTACATTCGTTTAGCCTAGATGAGATGGGTCTGTTTTGCTCAGTCAGTTTCGAACACTAAGTCTGATCTGATGGCTGGGGAAATAAAAAGTATGAAGATTAAGGGACAACGGCAGGAGGACGAGGCTAGGCCTAATCCACTCAAAGTAAACACCGGATCGAAACCAATCATTTAACACGTCCTTAGCTCGGCTTCCGCATATCCTCCATTCAAACAAATAGGTAACAACTATGAAACCTAGCAGTGATGTTAAATTAGATTCAGTGGTGTTGGGGAGCCGAGCCACCGGCGGAGCGGTCCGTGGAACATGTAGGCTACATGTTGTTAAAATCCCGCCCTGGCCCGAGATGTGGGTCTAGGCCACCACTCTAATCTAATCAAGGGAAGTGTGAAAAGAACTGAGGGGACTTGGGGGCCTTGTTGATTTGAGTTAACAAACGATTTGAATAGGGATGTCTGGCAACATTTCTAATCAACATCGCCCCATTTAAAGAAAAAAAGAGGTTTGCTTTGAGAATTAGGCTGAAAACCAGCCTTTTCACACGCTGATCCTTGTACGGTTATTCAGCCGGCAAATGAATGTGGATTGGAGCGCTTTGAGATCGTCTGGCGCAGGGATTTGACAGCCACTGTGGTGCGCAACCATAGCAAGAAAATGATCTAACTTTTTTGAAGAATGAAAATAATGCAATAAAATTGCTCAAAACAAAGTTTAATTTACTAGACTTGGAGTAGGCTAGGCAATAGGCCACACACTATTATAAAAGGCTCTGAACAGAATATGTTTTATTATTATCACCTGTTACACTAAATTCAGGCATATATATAGCATAGGCTACATTTCAAGAATGTAGCCTATATGCCCAACTAAACGAATGAATAAATATGCCTATAGGCTGAAGGTATACTTTTAAAAAAAATCTTACTTTTTGCCATCACACTCTTGACTGTGTCTGCTTGTTTTGCGGTGGTCTGCTCCATTACATCTATAGGCCGAGTGAGATTTGACTTGTAATTCCGGTAAAGGTGCATCATATACGTCGGTGCCAGGTGATGGTATCCAGGTGAACGGTGGTCTACAGCAAAACGTCGTGATATGCCGTGATAAACTCCATCTCTAGATTTGTGAATTCCTTGAGCCAGCAGTATGAGCAGAGAGGCATGAAGCGCTACACCTAGAGCGCCGAAAGAATGCATGCTGGTTGAGTCAAATTGGATGACAGATTCCTCTCTGGGTTGAGATAAGCTTGGCTTTTATACCTATCCCACTCACATGCATATTTAACAAGTAGCCGCGAACATTAAAGGAAATTGACATGCGTCTTCAAGGCTTGTGACAAGACAGGTCATCATCCATTGACTTGTTAATGAGTTGCCCAAGCCAATGACTGGGTGACGTGTATTTAGAACGACCAGTGAGCACAAACTCCCTATAGCACCTTTATAATAATAATAAAAATAATATGCCATTTAGCAGAAGCTTTTATCCAAAGCGACTTACAGTCATGCGTTTTTTTTTTTGTGTATGGGTGGTCCCGGGGATCGAACCCACTACCTTGGCGTTACAAGCGCCGTGCTCTACCAGCTGAGATACAGAGGACCACAGAGGACCACAGAGGACCACCTTTCTCATCAATAGTTATTTAAAAAGTCACCTTCTTTATTAGCCTTCAGCTACGTTCACTTTCCATATGAAATATATTCATTCCAATCAATCAGTTAGGCTATAGATTAGGGTTAAGGGTTTTAGTTTGATAAACCTGTACATTCTGCTCTCTGTAACGAAGAGCTAGCTGGTTATGACAATAGATTACGAATTATATGGACATAAGCCTATATAGACTTTCTCACATATGTTTTTCATAGTATATCTGGGGTGTATCCACATAGCATCTCACAGTTAGGAGTGCGGATCTAGGATCTGTCTATATAATCTTATTCATTATGATCTAAAAGGAAAAACATTAGGTCATTTCTCTTTCTCTTCAGTTTAGGCAAGTGGACTTTCAATAGGCTCGAGGCGCAATGTTATTGTAATACCATAAATAACATGATATCAATAGGCCTGTGTGGACAAATCAAATTATGTGTTTTCAGTGATGTGCTGCCTTTTGGAGTTTTATTATAGACTACTATAAATATTGCGCTCTGCGTCTCCGAGTGAAAGGAACAGTGGATGGAACGCTCAATGGACAAAAACCCTTCCATTTAGTGCGCATGCTCCTCCCCTTCTTTTATTCAGATAGTGGAAATCCTTTCCTCTGAAAATCTGCAAGAAAGGGCCGTATAGGTAAAGACAAGTACGTGGAAGAAACTATCCCTAAATAAATCACAAACCGCTGCTTTACATCACTTTTCCTTGGTTTATTTAAACATCCGACTAATGAGTAATTTCTGGAGAAGACACGTTTCTTCCGAGTGAAATGGTGAGTACATTTTACGGTTCTCCTCTTTCATTTCCCGTGTCCACGCGCACATTGGTAGGCTAAACTGTGAACATCGTCGGTATGCTAGTTTGTGTTTATGTGGATATGTTAGCCTAATGTGAAGTGTGTGTGATGATGTCGGTATGCGCGGTCAGTGCATGACTACGTTGCAACATTGCATCAAACAAAATCAAATGTGGTATAAAGTTGCAGTTAGTGGCATGTGGTTGGCTTGTCTTGACCCACCTCCATGCCTCCTCCAGTCTCCAGCGATAGGCTATTGTATGTCGAACCAGTCATGTTTGATGCAGCCGTGAAATTGTTTAAATTGTTCAAGTAAACTTGTTTGAAGTGCCAATCTATCATTCATTTCCCATGGAGGGTGGAATTCATGTGCTACGGATGGGGCCGATGTTCATTGGCTAATAGGTGTGTAATATTCAAATGATAACTCTTTGGTAGACTAAATGATTATTGGCGCTTTTACACTTTCAGTTGACCTGTTCAGGTGTTTCACACCTCTTAGGTCCGTTACTGTACTACAAATACAACAGTTCAGTATTTTTCGATCGATCCGCTATTAGTTAGGTAGACTTAAGTTTTTGCTAATCGAGCAGTGATTTGGACGGCAATTAAATGTCCTTTACGTTTGATGTCCTTTTAAAACCCCCCATTTTAACCTAATACAGTGATTTGCCAAGCTCTCCAATTAGGCACGTCAAATAAAGCAAGATCTTGTTTCATGTCCGTTACTCTGCATATACACAGAAACTAGTCTATACATATACATTTTTAATCTTGTCAAACTCAAATATGAAGATCAATCAAGCCATGAGAACATATCGAAACTGTTGTTAACTCCGCCCTGCTCCCCCCCCCTTGCCTCAATCCAAAATAAAGGATCCACATAGAGAGAAATAGAAATGGCGTCTTTTTGTAGGCACTAACTCCGCCATGGTTCGTTGGACAAAGCCTTTGGGAAAATGAATGGCGTTTTTGGATTAACGCCGAACATAAGGTCTGTGGTAAACGCAGGTTTAGGAGATCTTATACATTTTGTTCTATGAGATAATCCTCATCAGCTAAACGTCACTTTTAGTGAATTTATAAAAATGAATGTAATAAAAAGCACAAAAAGCACATCAAGGCTTGATAATTCATAAAGGACATGTTAACTGACTGATATTATCTCATAGAACAAAACGTATAAAATCTCCTAAACCTGTGTTAACCTCAAAACTTTAATTTCAGCGTTTATTCCAAAACCCTTTTCTTTCCCCATAAATGTTTCCCATAGGGATGGCTGAACGAATCAGAGGTTACTCATTTCCAGGTTTTAGGACTACAAGCTGTCCAGCTCTACATTTAGTAATTTAGCAGACGCTCTTATCCAGAGCAATTAGGGTTAAGTGCCTTGCTCAAGGCACATCGGCAGATTTTTCACCTAGTCGGCTCGGGGATTAGAACCAGCGACCTTTCGGTTACTGGCACAACGCTCTTAACCACTGAGCCACCTGCCGCCCCGGACAAAACAAAAGGCAAGCCAAGTTGGACCTGACCAACTACTACGGGGCTCTTGTTGGTAATCAAGAGACTATTCTCCAGGCTGCATCCCCAATGACACCCTATGCCCAATACACTGAGTGCACAAAACATTAGGAACACCTACTCTTTCCATGACATAGACTGACCAGGCGAAAGCTCTGATCCATTATTGACGACACCTTAGTTAAGTTGAAGTGGAGGAGACAGGTTAAAGAAGGAGACCTTTACATAACAGGGTAGGGGCCGTATGGGCATTCCGCCTCGGAGGCGGATCCGGCTCCGGGCGTGACGACCACATACTCCCCGCCTCCCTATTGCACCCCTGGTCTGGTCTGGACCTCGGCGCGCTGCTTCCCCTCTCCTTCCTCCCACGATACTCCAAGCCCTGTCTGGACCCTGGTGTGGGAGACCACGAACCTGGAGAGGGGCTGACGTCTGCGTCTGGACTGGAACCGCTGACCGGAGCTGGACTAGGCACCGGTGGAGCGGACTGCTCTGGCTCCGGAGTGGAGCAGCTGACCGGAGCTGGATCAGGCACCGGTGGAGCGGACTGCTCTGGCTCCGGAGTGGAGCAGCTGACCGGAGCTGGATCAGGCACCGGTGGAGCGGACTGCTCTGGCTCCGGAGTGGAGCAGCTGGCCGGAGCTGGATCAGGCACCGGTGGAACGGGCACGGGCCGTGCCGGACTGGACACACGCACCACTGGTCTGGTGCGAGGAGCAGGCACGGGCCGGACCGGACTAGGAACACGCACCACTGGCTTGGTGCGAGGAGCAGGCACGGGCCGGGCCGGACTGGCGACACGCACCACTGGCTTGGTGCGGGGAGCAGGAACGGGCCGGGCCGGACTGGCGACACGCACCACTGGCTTGGGGCGGGGAGCAGGAACGGGCCGGGCCGGACTGGCGACACGCACCACTGGCTTGGTGCGGGGAGCAGGAACGGGCCGGGCCGGACTGGCGACACTCACCACTGGCTTGGTGCGGGGAGCAGGAACGGGCCGGGCCGGGCCGGACTGGCGACACGCACCACTGGCTTGGTGCGGGGAGCAGGAACGGGCCGGGCCGGACCGGACTGGCGACACGCACCACTTACTTGGTGCGGGGAGCAGGAACGGGCCGGGCCGGACTGGCGACACGCACCACTGGCTTGGTGCGGGGAGCAGGAACGGGCCGGGCCGGACTGGCGACACGCACCACTGGCTTGGTGCGGGGAGCAGGGCCGGGCCGGACTGGGGACACGCACCACTGGCCTGGTGCGGAGAGCAGGAACGGGCCGGGCCGGACTGCGGACACGCACCACTGGCCTGGTGCGGAGAGCAGGAACGGGCCGGGCCGGACTGTGGAGGCGGACTGGAGGTCTGGAGCGGAGAGCTGGCACAACCCGTCCTGACTGGCTGCCCACTTTCGCACGACACGTGCGGGGCACTGGCACAGAACTCACTGGGCTGTGCATGCGCACTGGCGATACAGTGCGTATCTCCGCATACCTAGGTTCCTTTATTAACCCCCGCTCCTTATGCTGCCTAACCAGCTCCTCTCTCCGTGCCTCTACTTCCTCCTTTTCCCTACGAGCCTCCTGCAGTGCCTCCTCTTGAATGGATCTCTCCCGCTCTATTCTATCTATCAGCCCCCGTAATATGGTGGCCTCCTCTCTTACCCTGCAGATCCGATCCTTCTCTCTCTCTCGGCACTTCTCCTCCAGTGAGGACTCCTCCGGGAGCCCCCACGAGTTAGGGAACAGAAACTCGTCGTCGTCGTCATCCTCTGACTCCTCAGTATAAATCTGTTCCCACTCTTCTTCCCATGGTCGTAGGGAATCAATCTGGAAACCCACCGGGTGCAGTGGTCGGGGCTCTTCTCTCTCGCTCCCTGACCACCCCTTTAGCCCCCCCAAATGTTTTATCGGGGCTGCTTCTCGGCCTTCCTCCTCGGCCGGCTTCTGTGTTGCCGTTGCTCCTCTCATGCCTGGGCTTGAGGCGGCCTAAGTATGATTCCCAATCAGAGACAGCTGTCGCTCGTTGTCTCTGATTGGGGATCATAATTAGGCAGCCTGTTGGCATGCATTAGTTGTGGGATATTGTTCCGTGTAGAGGTTTGTTGTGTGTTCAACCTTAGGACTTCACTTTTCGTTTGTTTATTGTTTTGTCGTGTGTTTATCAGTTTAATAAACATGTACGCATTTCACGCTGCGCCTTGGTCTGACCCGTCCTTGAACGAACGTGAC